TCCCTCTGCTGGATCCCAAGGTGAGTGGCTGTATATGCAATTTTGTCTATTGGCCCTTTAACCAGTTAACTGCCATACGTCCAAAATGGAAACCATCCCCACATGCCATGATATTTTGAATTTAATTAAAAAATCAATTTGCAATGATTATAAAAATAAATATATGACTCACAATTTGGGTGTTCTTGAATATTTTCAGCTGAAAATTCTCACGAAAAATGATTTTAAAGTTGGTCAGGGCTACACCTTAGGGAAAACTTTTTTTTTTTTTATAGATGTGTGTGGCATATGGGGAAGGTCCTCTGCTTACGTCTACAGATGCTTATGGCATACAATGGGTTAAATGTTGCCTGCCTGCATTTCCAGCTGTTTCTCCCTGGCAGACAGCAGCCCTGCTGCTTTTCACAGCCAGATGTTTTATGGGCCTCTTTCTCAGTCTGGTGCTCTGGGCTAGGGAACCCAGCTTGGAGTTTAGACCCCAGAGTTCTCAGTGGGAACCTCCCATAGCTGAGATATCCCTCCAGAACTTCAGCTGCTGTCTGTGGGAGCTTGACCAGCCCTTTCACACCTTCTCACTTCTTCTCAGTCTCTATGCAGTCTTCACTTTCCATCCTTGGTTATCAGGGTTCTCTCCATCTAATCTCCAGTTGGTTATTCAGGATGGTTTTTCTGTGTTTTAGTTTAATTCCATTTTGGTCCTGGGAGCGTGTCAGTATAGCTTCCACTTACTCGGCCACCATGTTGGAATCCACTCATGTTTATTGATGACTCAGGACCAATGCTATTAGCATAGATGTCAACATCAATTATGGTAGATTTCACTGCAAGGTCACTGTAGTGAGTCCCACCTACACTGCCTGGCACCCTGGGACTCGGGGCACCAGGAACCAGCAGAGCAGTGTGGCTTCTACATCATTTCCAGCCTCCTGTCCAGCACAGCTCCTCTTTTGCCTCTCCTTTCACTCTTCATTCCCTGTTTCATCACTACAAACTCCTCAGGCTAGATATTTGGCAGACTTCCCTTCTTGACTACAATTTTTTGCTCCTACCCTGAAGATTACTAGATTACTCATTTCCAAGTACACCATATATTATACATAATGCAAATGGGTCTTAGGGTGCATAACTGTCAAAGATCTGTTGACTTATATTTCTGACAGATTTCACTTTTCCCTCCTCCTCATCATCTAAAACCAAATATAAACTTCTCAGAAATTGTCTCTTGCCCATGGTGAAGTTCCACACAAATGGAAAAACACATTATCTCTGCTAATGTCATTCAGTCTTATACTTTCATTTTTAATGGTGACAATTATACTTTGTAGAATAATTCTGTTTTCAAAGCTGCCAGCTGAAAATGTGATTCAAGCCCTAAATTTATAGAACACCAAAATAGATAGTCCAATTTCCTGATGAGAGATTTTTGGAACTCTCTTCACCCCTAGTTTTTAAAACAAGTTCTTAACAAAGTATCTGTGACCTCTATGTTGTCACAGTCAATGTACAAGTTCAGTCCTCTTCTTTCTTGACCTATCTGCATCATTTGATACATTTGATCATGTCCTTCTTCTTGAGACACCATACTTTTGGTTTCCTTTGCTGGTTCCTCCTTATCTTTCTCATTTATGTTAGAGTGCTCCAGTGCTCAATCCTCAGGCCTCTTCTTTTCCATATGCTCACTCTGCAGTCCGCAGGCCGACGCTCTATCCACTGAGCCAAACCGGTTTCGGCATAACTCCCAAATTTATATCTCTAACCTGAACATCCCTCTTAAGCTCTAGACTGATACCAAACTGCCTACCTGATATCTCCACTTGGATTTCTTATAGTCATTTTAACTTAAATGTTCCAAAGTGAACTCCTGATTTCTCTGTCAACTGCTATCTATCACCACCACAAAATCTGCTTCTTCACAGTCTTCTCCATTTCAGTAAATTATAAGTTCATTTTTCTTGTTCAGGCCCAAAAACTTGGAGATATTGCTAGGGAGGTCTCTAGAAGAGTGTAGAGCCCAGGGCAACTGAATCAGACTTGCTTAAGATAATCTATAATAATAAAAGGATAATATGCTAATTAGACCAGACACCCTTCCAGATGTCCTTCCAGGCATCCTTCCGGACAAAGCCGGGGCCGGAGGGAAGCCAGCCCGGGTCCCAGGTGCCTGCAGGTGGCCGGAGGGAAGCCTGCCCAGGTCCTGGGTGCCAGAGGGAAGCCGGTGCTGGCAGCTGGGGGAAGGAAGGCCTACTCTTGCACAAATTTCATGCATCGGGCCTCTCGTCATAAATAAGAGCTCATTGTTGATCATAGGTCCTTTCAGAAATCCTCCCTAAGTAAGTGGCCAATGATTGCTGCCCCATTTGTCTTACCCAAAGAATGAGCCAGAATCTTGATTCTTTTCTTTCTCTTACAAGCAGCATGTAATTTTTTTGGCAGAACTCATTGTTTCCATCTTTAAGTTACATTGGAATCCAATCATTCCTTACCACTTCCAAATACTATCTTAGTAGAGAAGTCTTCCTTGATAACCCTCTCTAAAGCATTACCTTCCCTCCTTTATCCTCCATTTCCTTACTCTGCCTTGCTTTTTCCTTAATAGTATTTATTACCACTGATATCTTATACATTTATTTCTTTTCTTCCTTCATTTACTAACATAAGCTCCATGAGGGCAGAGACCCAGAACAATACCTTACACATAATAGGTATCTAACTGTACTCTATCTCCATTCCAGTTCAATACTACTGATAATGCTCCTAAAATCCTGTTCTGATCATGTCAACATTGCAACCAATCTTTCAGCTCTCTGTAGATGGCCTCTTCTTTAAGAAGTTGTTCTTGATCTTGCTAGGTGGATATGATTTCTCTTCTCTCTCTCTCTCTCTCTCTCTCGCGTAATTTTTTCTATATATGTATTAAATTTTGATTTATAAGAGTATAGAGTAAGACAGAATAGTCTTAAATCCAGGTTGTGCCATTTACTATTTTATTAGGTAAATTATCCTTAGATTTCTTATCTGTAAATGGGAACAACACCATACTTGCCTTGTTAGGATTATTGTGAGGACTAAATGAAATAATATATGTAAAGCATTTAGAAAACTGCTGCTGCTCAACAAATTTTTATTCTTACTATTTCCATTATTTTATACTATATTTCTCAATTAGACTAAGCTCCAGAAAGGCAAATACAAAGTCTGATTTATTTTTGTGTTCTCTAAAGTATTTGATAAATAAACCTAAAAAATAAAATAAGATTCATACAATAAAAAATAAAGTAACTGGTACTTCTTGATCTATATTTCGAAAGCAACATAAATTGTCCTAGCTGGTTTGATTCAGTGGATAGAGCTGAGGACTGAGCGGTGCCGGGTTCGATTTCGGTCAAGGGCACATGCCTGGGTTGAGGGCTCGATCCCTAATAGGGGGCATGCAGGAGGCAGCCGATCAGTGATTCTCTCTCATCATTGATATTTCTATCTCTCTCTCCCTCTCTGAAATCAATAAAAATATTTTTTTTAGAAATTAAAGCAACATAAATTGAAGAACTCTTGGGGTGATATTTATTTAAACCAACTATTCATGAAAAAACATCTGCTTTGAAATAGGGAAAGTTTTAGTTCTTTTCTGGATTTCTATTGTAGATTAGACAAAATGTAAAAATGAAAACAAACTACTGCCATCTATTGATAATTCATTATAATAGTATAAATCAATTAAAACAAGAGTTTAGAGACTAACTAGGATGGCATCAGTTACTCTCTCATTGAAACCACATATGTGGATGCATATTTTATGTGAGGCATCATGGGGAATACAAAGATGAATTAAGTGACTGATTCCAAAATAAACAAACACGCAATACCTAACTTACTTGATAGTTAACTATCCAAACATTAAATATAAAACAAAATCGTTTAAAAAAAGTTTCAACTAAAAAAGCTTTACAGAAAACAATGCAATGGAAACACCGTAATAAACAACCATTCTATATTAATTATAGTAACCAGCACTCTTTTAAGTGCTTTTATATGGATTATCTTTTTTCCCCCTCAGAGCGATCCTACAAGCTAGGTTTTATTTTTACCTATATTTTGTAGATGAGAAAACTACAACTTGGAGAAATTAGGAAATATGCCAAAGGTCACATATCAAACAAGTAGGAAGGATGGAATTTGAAGCAATTAGGGTCCAAATTAACATTTACTAGGTACTTAATATGTAATAAAGTACTATAATAAGCATGATTTGTACATGATCTCATTTGAATTTATGAGATAAGCTCCTATACTTGGACCTTGGGAGGATATTTTAAAAAGGCCATTGTTCCAGCTTTTGTAAACTCATCATCTGGTACATCCCTCCAAGTTAATGAGCAAAATAAAGCAAGTCTGTCAAACTCCACTGGGGCTTTTGAGAGCTTTTGGCTTAGAAGAATTAAGAAGAGGCAATTGTATGTGTGCACCCATGTCACATAGGCACCATTTTCCATTTTGAATAAAAAAAGCTGGTGTGTGAACCTACTAGGTAGTGTAAGTAGTTAAATTTGTAATTTCACCCTACACCTTTTAGACTGGATATTTTATTAAAAAACAAGCCAAGAAAAATTGTGTAGATAATTTTCACATAAGTGTGAATTGTTTTTGTTTTCTAAGTGGGAGGGGGAGTTTAATATTAGGGCTGACGTTCGACTAGGTAAGCTACAAAAATTAATCTGGGGAAAGATGAGATAAAAGCTGTTCCTGGTATCAAAGGAATTTATTAGTATGGTTTATTTTTATAATGCGCATGATAAAATAAGATCAGCACAGATCAATTTCAACAAATAAAGAGACATAAGGGGGAAAATGTGACATACTGCACAAATGCGTAATAATCAATAATACATACTTCAGGTAAAAAAGATTGTATGTCTTTTCAACCTCATATTTTCAAGAAATTATAACATCATCAGAGTCATCCAAAAGGCGTTAATTGAATCATTTAAAAAAAAATTGCATACCTGTTATATATCAATGTCTTAGAATCCACTGAAATGGGATTATTCTCTTCTTTGACTAGGAAATGAGATTAAAGTTTCAGAGTGCTGAAAACAGAAAGAAACCAGAGGATTTGCAGTATTCCTTAATATCCTATCATAGACAATATTTATACATTACCCATGTTGCTTATAACTTTCTACCAAAGATGAGATTTCTCTGAATGTACTGATAATACTGGACTACAAAAACATCTTGTTTTGGGAAGAAGACATACAAGAACTGGTGTGTACCTTGAATCCAGGCTTTAACAAATATCTAGGCTACTGTTTGAAAAATTATAGCTCTTTGGTGAAATGTAGTCATAACCTACCTGCTTGTCTCATTCAGGAGAGTAAGGGCAAAGGTCTTTTTTAACTCTATAAATAATCAAGCATGACTTCTAAAACAAGAGGAGCTTGTAATGGGTTCAAAGATGCTCCCCAGAAATATGTTCATGTCCTAATCCCCAGAAACCGTGAATGTGATCTTATTTGGAAAAGGGTCTTTGCAGATTAAGGATCTCAAAATGATATCGTCTTGGATTTAGAGTGGGCCCCAAAGTAATTGGCTGATGAGAGATTTTAAATATAAAAATATATATTTAAAATAAATATAAAAATATTTATTTTACATATTATAAAAATATTTTTAAAATAATATAAAAAATATTATTTTAAATAATATAAAAATAGAACTATGACCCACACCCTGAAGCAACCAACCCAGGAAACCTCCACTCACCCATCTATCATCTAAAGTAACCAGCACAAGAAGCCATTTTGTTAATCTGTAAATCGGATTTGTAGGAAGACCACAATCTCTAATAACGATTGAGAAAACGAAACAACCCCTCTAACAGTTGGCTCCAAATGGCCAGTGCTTGATTAATAACTGACAGCTTCCCTAATTTTTGTCCCCACTTCCACCTTGGGATCAACCAGACAAAAACAAATATGTATCCTTAACCAATCATATAGGACCTCCTGCTTTTAGTTAGTCCACCTACAGCTTACCACCTCCAATCAGGGCATACTTGAAGACTTGAAGATTTCCCTTTTTCCACTATAAAGCTTTCCCAGTTCTCTGTCTGCCTTTGAGTCTCTGCCAAAATGTAAGTGATGGTGGCTCCAGCAAGCTGTGAATTAATAACTTTTGTTCTTATATGGTGGGCCTTTCTTTATTTCCATACTCATCTCCTTATTCATTCAAGAAAAATAGAGGGGGATTTGATACTCAGACACACAGGAAAGTAGACCATGTAAGGATGAAGCCATAGAGCCCTAAGTCATGGAGCCACCAGAAACTAGAAGAAGCACGGAAACCTTTGAAGGGATCAGGGTCCTGACAACACCTTGATTTGAGACTACTGCCTCCATAACTATGAGAGAATACATTTTTATCATTTACAGCCAACTAATCTGAGGTAATTTGTTATGGCAACTTTAGGAAAATAACAGAGCTTGTAACAAAAAAATTTGCATGTTATATGTCTTTTTCTGGAAGTACCCATAGACCTTAATGTAAATGGCTTAAAAACAACTGTTTAGATTTTTTAAATTCCACTTCTCGTGAGATTTACATGGTAATATGAGAATGTCTGGGGATTTCCCTAATAGTTCCCCGTAACAGCCAGGCACTATCTCTGCCATCGAAGTGCTCTAAGTCTCTATGAAGGAGACAGACACATAGTCAAATAATTAAAATGTAGGAGGTAAGGGAAATACTAAGTCTAATAACAATCTCTAACCAATTAACTCATTCCATTTATTTTATAAATCATAAGCTGCTAATTCCCATATTATACTTAATGCTAAATGGTTAAGAAGGTCCTTTGTGGAGAGTCTGCCCAGTTCTGCTCCTAACCAATTGATTTGTACACTCTGAGGGGTTACTTGTGTTTTTCCCAAACCTGTTTATGTCAGTTGTACTTATTACTGTGCTTTCACAATTTAATTAAATGTTATAGAAACCAATGAAATAGTGTGGAAATAAAGTTTGTTGTTTCTTTAAAATCTATGTTTAATATTTTGGCAACACCCAATAAAGGTGAGTTTTTTGAATGTTAGATACTATGAAAGATTATAAAAAAGAGATCTTACTCAGCTTCACAAGTGTCTTTAAGGTATTTTCCTCTTAAAGGAAGAAAATCTTGGGATAGCTTAACTGATGGTTTAGAGCAGCCGTGGGCAAACTACGGCCCGTTTGAAATGAATAAAACTAAAAAAAAAAAAAAGACCGTACCCTTTTATGTAATGATGTTTACTTTGAATTTATATTAGTTCACACAAACACTCCATCCATGCTTTTGTTCCGGCCCTCCGGTCCAGTTTAAGAACCCATTGTGGCCCTCGAGTCAAAAAGTTTTCCCACCCCTGGTTTAGAGGCATAGTTTACGCAAGAGATACAATGCAGAACTCTATTCAGCAGGCCATGTATAAAGAAAAGGCCTTGGCTTTCTCAATCTAGTGACAAATGAGCAAACAGTTGTTTTAGGATAAAACAAAATATTTACGGTATTTATGTTATACTTTCTCATGACTCTCTGGTTTGACTGACTTCCTTTTAAACAGATTTATTTAGACATAATTTATAAACCAGCATGTTTATCCTTACAAAAGATAGTGTACAATTCAGTGTTTAATTTTTTTTTTCAATTTATTGCTTGGCTATAGGCCCATGCCACATCTATGAGAGGGCTTCTTCTGGATGAACAAAATGCTAAAGAAGCAATTGATTCCACTTGGTGAGGAAACGGGAATTCAAGGAAGGTTATGTTTGAACTTGAAGGGTCTTGAACAAGTAACAGTTAAGTACGTGGAGGGAACCAATGGGGGGAGGGACATCTGTAATACTTTCAACAATAAAGATAAATTTTTAAAAAAGAGAGAGAAGAGTATTTTAAGTGAAGAAATAGCATATGTAAAGGGTGAAATCATGTGGCCCTCCCAAGGAACAGCCTTGAGTTTGAGTGGCTTGGGAATGGGGAAGTTGTTTTTTCAAAACTAATTATGCATATGAATCATCTGTAGAGATTAAAACAAAAGAAAGCAAAATATGCCTAGACTTGACCACCAGAGATTGTTTCAAATGTATATCTGGAGTGGAGTCCCTGGATTTATATATTTATTTACTGATTGATTGATTGTTAATCCTCACCAGAGGATCCTCACCAGAGGGTATTTTTTTCCATTGATTTTTAGAGTGGAAGGGAGAGGAAGAGACAGAGAGAGAAACACTGATGTGAGAGAGACATATAGATTGGTTGCCTCCTGCCTGCACACTGACCAGGGCCAGGGATTGGGCCAGCAACCGAGCTTGACCCGAATCATACCCAGGACCCTTCAGTCCATGGGCCAATAATCCAACCACTGAGCCAAACCAGCTAGGGCTGGATTTATTTTTTTAAAGTTCTACTTGTCATTCTGATGTGCAGCCAGGATTGAGAACCATGGCAGTTGGTGACTGGAGATGAGGTAAGAGAGTGTTAGAAGATGAGCAGTAGGACCAGATGAAAGGAAACAGTATGTCAATAAAATAGAATGACAAATTCTCTCTTCCCTGACAGCTTCTCTACATTGAAATGTTTAAAAAAAAAATCTGTCACTATTGTAACATGAAAGAAAATTAATTCCCACCATTGTCTATAAAAACGGATAAATGTGTTAAACTGGCTTTGTAACTAAAAGACTGTGGGGCGCGGGTATAGTGCTTTGGACAGGTTCAAGCCTTGGACTGAGAGGGCACAGTCCTCTCATTGCCACGTGCAAGTCCCAGCTTGCAGGGCAGAGCCTTCCCAGCACAATTATAGCCAACAGCTATAGTTGTAAGCTTGAATCTGGTCCAAACACGTGCCCCCACGTGCCTGAGTGATAAGAGTTCAGGTGCATGTAGTTGAGTAGGATTGAAACCAATGAGAATGCTGTAAACATCTTGGTCACACCCCTACTTGCCTTGTGGCATCTGCTGTAAAATAAAGACACGGGTCCTGAGACCCAGCTCATTCTCTTGTCTTTCTAAGCCTTTCGCCACCCTCACTCAGGGTCACTGAACCAGGCTGAGCTGGCGTGGCACATAAGGCGCCCTGGGGCTGAGTATGCCATGGCCATGCTGGCTCACCACAAAAGACCTCCTATTCTGGGTTAGTGATCCCATTCTCTAATCGGGTCGCCACCCCTTTGGGGGTCGAACGACCCTTTCACAGGGGTCGCCTAAGACAATCGGAAAACACATAAATAATTACATATTGTTTTTGTGATTAATCACTGCTTTAATTATGTTCAATTTGTAACAATGAAATTGGGGGTCACCACAACATGAGGAACTGTATTAAAGGGTCGGGCATTGGGAAGGTTGAGAACCACTGAAATAGAAGCACTTGCCCCCTCCAAATGCTGTTCTCAACTCCCAGATATGCAAGATTCTTTCTCCTTCAGGTAAAGCTTCTCCGGCCCTTATCACCTGAGCGACTATAAAATAAAAGGCATCTCTGCCTCCCATCATGACCAGTTCCACTGAAAATATCCTTTCTCCTACTCTTTACCACAGCATCCGTCTTCCACATCATATGTTTAATTTAAAAAAAATAAACGGATGTTATACTCTTTGGGGGCTGATAGGGTATGCTAACTTGCACCTTTATCACAATTTTAATGGTTAGTAGCTTCTAATTTTCTACTAGCGGCACATATTTTTATTTATTTTAATCCTCACCTGAGGATATGTCCTCATTGATTTTTAGAGAGGAAGGGAGAGGGAGACAGAGAAACATCCACGTGAGACAGAAACGCCAATGGGCAGCTGCCTCCCGCCCACCCCGACCAGGATCCAACCCAAGACCTGGAGGCGCCCGCACCGCTGCCACCGGCGGCGCTTTTGAAAGGCGAGCGGGGCCCCCACCGGCTGGGGGGGGAGCCGCGCGGTGCAGGTCCGGGCGAGAGCGGCGGAGGACGGTCCAATCCACCAACTCGGTTCTGAAAATAAAAACAGGAAACAAAAATCCCCCTTAGGAGGCCCATGACTTAAACCTGAACAAAACAGACTGCCTGCCAGGCGCTCAGGCCGCGGGGCCTCGGGCCTGGGCTCTGGCGGCTACCGGGGTCCCGTCCCCCCTGGACCGAAGGGCGGACGCGGGGAGGGCGGCCCGCGCCGAGCGGAGTCAGCGCGACGGGATCCGGGACCCGCCGCCCGCCGCCCGCCTGGCTCCGGCGCAAGGGCCGTCTGCGTTCTGGTTCCTGTTCCTCTTCCCTCCATGGGGCCGCGGGGAGCGGGCTCGATGGGCCGCCTTCACCGGAACTGCTGACACCCCCCCCC